GCTACTGTACTCGATCAAGTTGCTTGCAATGTTTATTCGAGTGGGATTAAAACCGACAAAAATATATTATGCGCCAGAGCCATTCTTCGACACAACCTTGTACCCGAAGGAGTATGTCGGGTAAGTTATAGTGATTGGCATCGAACATCCAACAGTACATGTATATATGTATATGTCAACGTGAATGATATTATTATTATTATTATTATTATTATTATTATGTGCTTGAATATTGTACTGCAGTACCTATAACCATATNAACAAAAAAAAAAAAAAAAAAAAAAAAAAAAAAACTTTTAAAGGGGGGTTTTTTAAAAAAAGGGTTTTTTGTTTTTTTTTTTATTTTTTGATTGCAAAAAAATAAAAAGTAAATTTTGTTCTTGAGTCGCTGGATGTATGAAATAAAAAATAAAATACTTCGATTTGGTGAAAATTCGAAGTTAAAATTATTTTATCATACTTGAAGTCATACATTGTAAAATTGCATTGACATTTAGAATAAATTTTTTGTTATTATTACAAAACAATAATGTCATTCAAATTCATAAAAACCTAAAGTCAAAGTCAAATCCAATCTCTCAAACTTAATAATAATTATTTCAATCAACTTATCGCAATACGTTTAAATCAACATGTTTACTTTAAATTTTTTCATTTGACATCGATCGCCGAGTGGAAACATCATTTTAAATTTGTATGATAGGTACGTTTTTCGAAATTTCTGAAATTATACAAGTATTTCTGAAAAAAATTTCAAAACGTGTTGTAAAAAAATTTTTCCGCCCTCGGGTGGTTTTGGGAGGCTGTTACTTCCTCGGTCGAAAAAGCAGTTTTCTGGAACTCGTTCGAAAACTCTCCTTTACGAACCTCGTTACGTCCCTCGCCTTCGGCTCGGGCCGCAAACCTCTCGGTTCGCAAACAGAGACTTTTCAAACTCGTAGGAAAACTACCATTGTTTTTTCTTCGGTGATACCTTTTTCCACTCAACTATAGATACACTAGTTGATTTTATTAAAAAAACTGCAGTCGCATGAAAAAAAAAATCACGAAACTCGTAGTAGAGCAACGACTCTTTGTCAAAATTGCAATCTTATGAGATAACGAAACAGGTCCACTTTTACTTTGTTCTAAAACTCGATCAATCTAGAGTCATATTAAATGTACGACTAATAAATCTGCTACCTAAAAATTCAACATTCGTTAAAATGATCCAAACATACGCAAACTTCTTTTAAAATTCATCCAACTTGAACACACATCGAAGCTTTTTTGATCATCTGTAACAACAAAGCATTACATCTTTAAAATAGATGAAAAAAAAAAAAAAAAAAAGTAATAATAATAATAATAAGTAATGCGTATGGTCATTTTTCGATACTCCTACGATTTTCTCAGTTCGTACTGAAGAAGGCAAGGTAACACGCGTTCTAACGCTTTCGGCTAATTTACTAATGACAATAAACCTATAAGTAATTACAATAAGAATTATAATGATAATAATAATCGTAACAGGGTACAGAAAAATAAAGACACACAGTACACACGTGAAGAAAAAAAAAAGTCTCAAGAATAATGGAGCGAGAGAAAGAGAGAGAGCAATTTTAAAAAATCCTCCAAAATTAATGTATAAGCAAATTTGGGCATAACTGCTTTAAAATGTAATTTTTTCTAAAAATACAGTGCATTGTTTTTGTGATTGTTTTTTTATTTTTTTTTTTTATTTTTACGTATAAAACATGCTCAATTGAATGCATTTAATTTTGAAGGGTGACGGTGGAGGCCCACTCGTTCACAAAGGCATTGTCATTGGGGTGCAATCTTTCGGTCCAACCAACTGCGACGAACTTTGGATTCCTAGTTTTTACACCAGAGTGTCGGACTATCTCCCTTTCATATTCAATGCGATAAATGATGACTGCGATTCTACAGTGATGCAATGTGTACTGTAATTTAATCGGGAATAATGAGTTATGTAAATATATAACTAGTAGATGCGCTTCGTACGATTCACGTTGTCGACACTACTTTGATGAACTATTTGGAGGACAAAATTTTGCTTTACATTTTTTTCTCACTTTTTCATCCTTGCAAACGACCGTGCAACGTTTAACCCTTGCGATTTTTATTTTGCCATGAATCATGTAACTTTTTTTTTCACAACTTTTTATGTAAATAAATGAATAATGATTGGAAAAAAAGTGTTTTTTTATTTATTCTTAATGTACCTATTATGTATTACGGAAAAAATAAAATTAGTAAACCTATACCTATAAGATCAATTAGTTGCAACCTCAAACAAAAGTGTCAGGTGTGTAACGACTAAGTTAAAGGTCTCATAGATTAAAAGTTGAAATAGTAATGAACAATACTCGCTTAACGCCTGTTCTGAGATAACAGCATTGCTTTTAATATAAAAAATACCAAACAACTAATGCGTATTAAAGGAAATTCTATTATAATTAAGAGTTGCGTCGCGTTAGTGTTTATTAAGTGCCATAAAAATCATTGCTTAATCGTCCGAGAATATTGACACTTTTTTTTATTAGTCCCTTGCACCTTTTCCGCTATATTTATACCCATCGCACCTGTACTCTCTCTCCCCATCAGGCATTGTTATAGTGGTATAGGGGACAAGGTGGTAAGGGGGATCCAATCACTTGTGACAATATTAACGTACGTGACACTACGATTCATTGAGTTGATAAAATAAAGATCAGAACCCACGAATTTTTAAGAATAAAGTGAAATGATTTGCTACGTTTTAGTCAAATGTTTTTTACTGCTTTTTTTTTTTAATTTCAAAGGTAAGCCATTATTTTACTATTTCAGTCTGAATTATTTTTGTATTCAAATTTTAATAAATAACCCTACGTCTGTAAACAAAATTTAAATTTGGTTGGTGTCTTCAGCTTTGTAATATAATCTTATAGTTTGATTTGTGTTAAAAAAAAAAAAATTCTATTTTTTTCCCACTACAACTTTGGAAAGTAATACGTAATAAACTGATTTCCAGGAAAAACTACACAGATCTTATTGCAATACAAGGTTTTTCTTTAGACAGTTTTAATTTTTATATTTTGAAAAAAAAAAAAAAAAAAAACTT